TCCCGCATGCTTCGTCAACCGGCTGTTGGAAGCACCTCTTGGGTGCCACTTGGGGGGGCGTCTGAGGGTCCCTTGGGGGCATCGGTTCTGCAATATGAAGCCGTCATTGGCCGTCTTGGCTGCGTGGAGGCCCGACTTGAGGCCACCTGCAGCCAGGTTGAGGCAATCCGGAAGCCTCCCGGGGGCCTCCTGGAAGCAGTTTCGACGCATCGAGGGCACTCTTGGGCTATTTCAAAACCTCTTGGACGTCTCCTAAAGGCGTTTTGGGCCCTCGTGAAGCTTTTGGGGTCCTCTTGCGGCCTCCTGTGGGCCTTTTGGGGGGAACGCTCTGCTGTTGGGTCGCGTTCCCCTTCTTGGACCTCTCTTGGGGCTCTTGGGGCCCTCTCGGGCCGTCTTGGGCGCCTCAAGCACCGTCTTGGGGCCCTCGCGGGCCGTCTTGGGGCCCTCTTGGAGGCCTCTTCCTCTATATTGGAGCGGTATTGAAAGCCTCTTGGGCCGTCTTGGAGCATCGGGATGCCAAAACACCAACAAAAATTAAAACCCGTCAAAGCCCAATCGTAAAACTATGAGATGTGCCTCTTGGGGCCACCTTGGGAGATCTCTTGGAACCTCGTCGGCCCTCTTGGGAGCTTCTTGGGGGCCTCTTGGATCCGATTGAGCGCCTCTTGGGACTTCCCGAGAACCTCTCGGGGTAGAAAGCTCGGGTTCTCAGTTCGTGTTTCCCTTCTTGGGCCTCTCTTGGGGCCGTCTTGGGGCCCTCTCGGGCCTTCTTGGGAGCCTCAGGCACCGCCTTGGGGCCCTCGTGGGCCGCCCAGGGCCCTCTTGGAAGCCTCTTCGGCTATCTTGGAGCTGTCTTGGAGGCCTCTTCATCCTCCTCGTCCCCCTCCTCCTCCTCCCACTCCAGCTCTCTCTCCTCCTGGTATTCCTCCTCCTCCTGCAGCGTGTTCCAGAAGGCTCCCGCGGGAACATGCTGTGCGCAAATGCTGTCACTGCTCCCGCCACAGTGCCCTGGGTGGTGGGTCAGAGGCCTCATGGGCGTTTGTTTGGATCTCGTGGTTGGCCTGTCGGGGACATCGTGAAGGCAGTTTCGCAGCTTCTCGGTAGCCGTTTTGGGACCGTTGTGGGGCCTCCTCGGGGCTGTTTTGTCGCCTCTTTAGGCTTCGTGTGGGCCTCCTGGGTGTCTCTTGGGGGCCTCCCGGGGCCTCTTGGGGGCTCCTTGGGGCCTCCTGGGGCACTCTTCAAGCGGAAGGGTAGAAGTCTGGAGTCGTGGTCCCCCTCTTGGGCGCATCTTGGGGCCGTCTTGGGGCTCTGTTGGGCTGTCTTGGGCGACTCTGGGGCCGTCTTGGGGCCCTCTTGGGCCGTCTTGGGGCGCTCTTGGGGGCCTATTGAGCCGTCTTGGAACGTCGGACAGCCGAAAAGGCTGGAAGGCCAAAATCGTTCGAAAACCTTCGTAACATTGACCGTTTCGGCCTCTTGAAGCGCTCTGGAGAGGCGTCTTGAAGCGTCGTGGAGTGCCTTGGGGGGCCTCTCGGGCAGTCTTGTGCCTATCTTGGGCGTCCTTGAGCGGTCTTTCGGCGACTCGGGGCCCGCTTGGGCCGTCTTGGGAGCCTCTGGAGGCCCTCCTGGACCATTTTGGACCTCCCCGGCCGCCCCGTCCTCCCACGGGGGGTCGGAGGCGGCGGCCTCCGAGGCCCAGGACGCGGAAACCCTATAAAAACACAAGGAAGATGAGCCCTGGTACTCCCATGCCCCCTCGGGGCAGCCGCCCTGGGCGCCCGAACGTCGTGCACGGGTATATATATTTATATATATAATATATATATATATATATATGTATATATATATTTATATATTATATATATATATATATGTTGTACACACACATAAAAAAAGATCAAAGCGTTTGGGCCTCGGACCCGCTGATGAAAATTACGCTACCGAGGAACCCCACATACTCAATTTAAATCTTATGTGCTTGCTTAAGTTTATACTATATGCGCAATTCTGCGTTCTCAGCCCTCGTCGCGAATGTTCCCCTCTGTGTCATCCAACGCCGTATTGCTTGAACCTCCTCCCTCTTCCTAGCCTTCTATCCTCCATCAAGGACAGATTCGAGCCAGCCAGCGGCCGCGCTCAGGGACCACCCCCTGCGCACCCCCTATGGTGTCTAGAAAGTGCCAAGCCTGCTATGCCTGGACGACTGGCACGGATAGCGGCCGCGCTCAGGGACCACCCCCTGTGCACCCCCTATGGTGTCGAGAAAGTGCCACGCCTGCTATGCCTGGACGACTGGCACGGATGGGGGCCGCGCTCGGGGGCCACCCCCTGCGCACCCCCTATTGTGTCGAGAAAGTGCCACGCCTGCTATGCCTGGACGACTGGCACGGATAGCGGCCGCGCTCAGGGACCACCCCCTGGCACCCTAGCGGTGTTAGACAGTTTGTCAGTGCTATGTGGTACGAGGCACGGATTAGCGCCGCGCTCAGGGACACCCAGGGCGCACCCTTATGGTCTGTCTAGAAAGTGCCACCGCCTGCTTGCCTGGACGGACTGGCACGGATAGCTGCCGCGCTCAGGGACCACCCCCTGTGCACCCCCTATGGTGTCTAGAAAGTGCCACGCCTGCTATGCCTGGACGACTGGCACGGATAGGGGCCTCGCTCGGGGGCCACCCCCTGCGCACCCCATATTGTGTCGAGAAAGTGCCACGCCTGCTATGCCTGGACGACTGGCACGGATAGCGGCCGCGCTCAGGGACCACCCCCTGCGCACCCCCTATGGTGTCGAGAAAGTGCCACGCCTGGCACGGATAGCGGCCGCGCCAGGGACCACCCCCTCAGGGACCACCCCCTGCGCACCCCCTATGGTGTCTAGAAAGTGCCACGCCTGCTATGCCTGGACGACTGGCACGGATAGCGGCCGCGCTCAGGGACCACCCCCTGCGCACCCCTATGGTGTCTAGAAAGTGCCACGCCTGCTATGCCTGGACGATTGGCACGGATAGGGGCCGCGCTCAGGGACCACCCCCTGCGCACCCCCTATGGTGTCGAGAAAGTGCCACGCCTGCTATGCCTGGACGACTGGCACGGATAGCGGCCGCGCTCAGGGACCACCCCCTGCGCACCCCCTATGGTGTCGAGAAAGTGCCACGCCTGCTATGCCTGGACGACTGGCACGGATAGCGGCCGCGCTCAGGGACCACCCCCTGCGCACCCCCTATGGTGTCGAGAAAGTGCCACGCCTGCTATGCCTGGACGACTGGCACGGATAGCGGCCGCGCTCAGGGACCACCCCCTGCGCACCCCCTATGGTGTTTAGAAAGTGCCACGCCTGCTATGCCTGGACGGCTGGCACGGATAGCGGCCGCGCTCAAGGACCACCCCCTGCGCACCCCCTATGGTGTCGAGAAAGTGCCACGCCTGCTATGCCTGGACGACTGGCACGGATAGCGGCCGCGCTCAGGGACCACCCCCTGCGCACCCCCTGTGGTGTCGGTCGTGGATAGCGACCGAGCTGAGAGACCACCCCCTGCGCACCCCCTGTGGTGTCGAGAAAGTGCCACGCTTGCTAGGCTTTGCGCCAGTGCCACGAGCTGTGCTTTGCTGTGCTGAGCTGAGCCGTGCTGGGCTGTGCTGAGCTGTGCTGAGCTGTGCTGTGTGCTGAGCTGAGCTGAGCTGTGTGCTGTGCTGAGCTGAGCTGTGCTGTGCTGTGCTGTGCTGTGATGTGCTGTGCTGAGCTGTGCTGTACGAAGAGTGAGGTGTGTGTCGCGGGTGCGGCGCGGCAGGGAAGAAAACCAGAACCCCACGAAGCATGTGGGGAATAAAAAATAGTCCCAAAATAGTCTGGGGACGATTTGTTGAATATGTTTTGACCTTTTTGGCGTATTTTTTGTATTTTTTCATTGTTCGTCGAAAATCCCCCTGTAGGGGGACACGCCCGACATAACGCTATGGTAATCAAGATCGGTCTCAACACCTGGGCTGTGGGGGACTCAGGGATCTGTGCTAAGCCCAAAGTCTTTCTCACCCTCTCCCTTCACCCTTGCTCTTCCCTCTGCTCTGCCTCTCCTCCTCCTTCTCCACTTCCGAATCCTCTGCCAGGGACTTCTTGGTATACCGAGGGGAGGGGCTGGTGCATAATTTCCCTAACTTTGGGTTATCCCGGGGCTCTCTCGGATCCTATTTGGACTTACACTCAGCTCGCTTCGCGGTCAGTCTTGCCTTGTCTTCTTTTTCTCCCACCTCCTCCTCCGCCTCCTCCTCCTCCTCCTCCACTGCGGCTACATGTCTTGGACTGCCTTGGGGCCTTCTTGGACTGTCTTGGCCGTCGTTCGACACTCTTGGACTGTCTTGGGGCCTTCTTGGGCCGTCCCGAGTGTCATTGGCGCCGCTGTGGCTCAGCTCGCTTCGCGATCAGTCTTGTCTTGTCTTGTTCTCCTCCCACCTCCTCCGCCTCCTCCGCGTCGTCCTCCCTCCTCCACCTCTTCCTGCTCCTCCTCCTCCTCCTCCTCCTCCTCCTGCTTTGCCTCCTCATCCTCCTGCTTCGCCTCACGCCTCACCCCTCCTCACTCCTCACCCCTGCTTGGCCTCCTTCTCCTCATCATCCTCCTCTCTCCCCGCCTTTGCTCGCCGCCCTGTTTTTCTCCTTCTCCCACGCCCTCCTCCTCCTCCTCCTCCTCATCCTTCTCCTCATCCTCCTCCTCCTCCTCCTCTTTCTCTCCTCATCTCCCTCCTCCTCTCTCGTCCTCCTCCTCTCCTCCTGCCCCTCTCTCCCACTCCCTTCCCTTTCCCTCCCCCTCCCTCCCCCTCCCCACTTTCCCCATCCCCTCCCGCCTCCCTCCCCCTCTCCCCGTCCCTCCCCCGCGCCCTCGCTTCCCGCTCCTCCTTCCCTCCCCCCCTCCCACCACCTCCCCCTCCTCCCCCCTTCGCCCCCTCGCCCCCCTCCGCTTCCCCCCCCCCCCCCTCCGCTCTCCTCTCCGCCCTCCGGCGAGGCAGGCCGCCCTCAAAACTCGGAAGCCGCGCACCCCGCCCGGACATGCACCTCCCCTCGGAAGCAACTGCTGGGAGGCCCGCGTCGGGAAGGATCAGGGAGAGTCAAGCCCTAACGGGCCCTGGAAACGACAAGGCCGTTTTTGTTACCGGTTCCGTTTGGCCGTTTTTTTGCCGGTTCCGACGCCGTTTCTTTACCGGTTCCGTCGCCGTTTTTTGACTGGTTCTGGCTCCGGCTCCAATCCTGGAGCCGTTTTTTGCCGTTTCCTGTGGCCGTTTCTTTGCCGTTTCCATTTTCAAGGGACACTTTTTTGGGAAACGGTGAAAAAACGGCCCTGCCGTTTCCGTGGCCCACAAAGGTCAAGCCCCATTGGGGGGACTGCTACACTCGACCAGGACAGTAAGGATGCGCGGTAAGGATGCAAGGGCCTCGGAACGCCACGTCGACGATTTCCGTGCGGAGCGCAGCAGAATGCCGAAGGATGGCGAGTACAAAAGGGGCAAGGATACAAGGGTAGCGTTGGAAAGTTGCCCCATCCTTATTACCATGGTTGACTGTACGCCGGATTAGGCCGCGGAATGGGAGGAAGCCGGCCGGATTGAGCGGGATGAAGGCCGGATGGGGCCAGATTGAGGGCCAGGGCAGAGTCAGAATGTGACCTCCTAGGAGCTGCATCCGAACCTCCCCGCGCCGGGAGCCCTGGCTCAGGCCACCTGCTTCGCTATGCCGTAGAGGGTGTCCATGACCTCGAGTTTTTCTTTCGTTGCAGCGCGACCATGTTGCATCCGGCATGTGGAATCCGCGTCGAATCCTCGTCGGATCCATGTCGGATCCACGCCGAATCCGCGTCGAGTCCGCCTCGGGCACAAGATGCGATACCAACCTGGGGGGCAAGCAGACGAGGCCACTCGAGGATACAAAGCGCGGCCACCATCCGCGAACGGCGTCGAAATCCCCCATCCCGTAAGCACGAAGCGAAGGCCGGAGAGCCGGGCGGCATGGGCAGAGAAGGCGGAAGAGGCGGAGGAAAGGAGGGAGGCGACCTCGACCTCGGGGCCGGGAGGGGGGGCGGAAGAAGTCCTGCTGCTTCTCATCCCCCCGTCCCCCTCCTACCTCCTCCCCCCTCTCGCCTGTTGCCTCTCCCGCTGCCTTGCCACACCATCCCCCCCCTGTCCAGCTCCCCTTCTCGCTTCTCTCTTCCCTCTCTCTCCCTCCTCCTGGTTCCTGGTGGCTGGAGGAATCCACGATCACAGCCTCCCTCCTCCTCCTGCTCCTCTTCCTCCTCCTCCTCCTCCTCCTCCTCCTCTTCCTCTTCCTCTGCCCTTTCCTCCTCAGGATGAGCAGCAAGGCCAGAACGATGACGAGGAGGACAGGAGGACAAGGAGGAGGGCAGAGCATCAGTAACCTCCGAGGTGTTCTTGATGGTCTTGAGGGCATTATCGTACGTCGTCCGGACCTCCTCCTTGTCGTAGACGACGAGGACGCCGATGCCCTGGTCCAGTGTTCCCAACAACTTCTTGTCAAGGATCATCTCCCGAAGCTTCGCCTGGGTCCGTGGGAACGGCATCTCCACGAGCTCCGCCACGTGGACGATCTCCACACGACTGAAGGGTTCCAATATCCTCAAGATGTTCTGCTCCAGCAGCGTCTCGTTCAGGTCCGCGAGGTGGTACTCGACGACAGGGTCCTCCGAGAGCTGGGCCTTGTGATCCGAGAGAACCTGCTCGTACTTCTTCAGCGACCGCTCCTTGCGCAGCACGGGGGAGACGAGGAGGAGGACTGGGAAGAGGAGGGCCAGGAGGAGGAAGGAGGACGAGGATGGGGAGAAGGACGAGGAGGACCAGGAAGAGGAGGAGGAGAAGGAGGAGGAGGGGGAGGGGGAAGGGGAAGAGGAGGAGGAGGAGGAAGAGGAGGAGGAGGAGGAGGAGGAGGAGGAGGAGGAGGAGGAGGAGGACTGGGAGCACGAGGAGGAAGGCCGGGCCTTGTGGGCCCCCGCCACCGCGGCCATGGCGTCGACCTGCGGCCCGGCGTACTTGAGGCCCGTCTTGCTGTTGATGAGCGACTTGGTGTCGTCGGGGCGGCCCAGCATGATCTGGGTCATGAGCATGTACTTCATGGACCTCCTGGCCTCAATGGGCCCTGGAAACGACAAGGCCGTTTTTGTTACCGGTTCCGTTCTGCCGTTTTTTGGCCGGTTCCGACGCCGTTGTTTTACCGGTTCCGTCGCCGTTTTTTGACCAGTTCTGGCTCCGGTTCCACCCCTGGAGCAGTTTTTGCTGTTTCCGGTCGCCGTTTTTTTCCCTTCCCCATTTTCAAAGGACATGTTTTGGGAAACGGTGCAAAAACGGCCCTGCCGTTTCCGGGGCCCACACAAAGCTCCTGGCCTTGTCCTCCTTCTCGCCGGCGTTGAAGGCCTCGAACGCCTCGTAGAAGTAGGAGTAGGCCGTGCGGAAGTCCTTCTCGCGGGCGCTGACCACGCCCGAGAGCAGGTCGATCTCCGCCTGCAAAAGCGGAGGGCAGTGAATAGCGTTGGCGTTGGTCTTCGAGGCGGTCAACGCCGCCTTCGACTTGGGAATGTTCTGAAGAGCGAAGTGGGTACGGCACTCGATCAGGAAGATCTCGACCAAGAGCAGCTTGTCGTCGAGCTTCTTGACCTCCGAGATCAGCCTGGTCAGCAGCTCGAGCGCATCCTGGTACTTCGACTCCTGCAGGTAGAGCCCCGCCAGGCGCGTCTCGACGCGCTGCCGCAGGAAGGTGCGCTTTCCCTCCTTGCACCACTCGATGCAATCCTGTCGGGGATCTGCTGACCGGGGTCAATCCGAGCCTGGGTCAGTCGGGCTTTGCAGGATCCTGCAAGATCCTGCAAGATCCTGCAAGATCCTGCACGCATGCCAGGGTCAATGCACCCCTGGCTCTGTAGGATCCTGCAAGATCCGTCGCTCTGAATGACTCCGTTTGCTTTGACCCCCGTCCCTAGAGCCCCGATCCTGGCACATCTCGATCTGGAGCCGGAAGGCTGTGGTCTTCCCCAGCAGGTCGATGAGCTGGCGCACGATCTTGGCGGTCTTCGCCTTCGGCATCTCCGAGAACAGCGGGCGCACCTCCTTGCTGAGGGCGCTAATCTCCTCGGGCTTCTTCTGAGCTACGAGAAAATCTCCCAGCGCGTATACCGCCTTTTCGCGATTCTTCGCGTTCGGATCCTGGGAAGGGCTCGAATGATACACTATGCCGCCTGGTCGGCCAAGGAGCACCGTGCGTATGCGCACCAGCTTCCCGAGCTGCCGAATGCTGGAGCGTCTACGCACCGAACTCCGACGCCGAATGTCTGGGCTTCTTGGCCGACCAGACGACTTGGTATATACAGTCGGGTCGTTGACCTAAGGAACCCAAAATAAGGAACGAGGCCCCTTTTTCCCATCAGTTAAAGTTCGATTTCCCATCGGAAACATAAGGAAAACCTAAGGCAAGCTGTGAAACAAACAAGGAGCACGGAGCCCCTCCCCAACGAAAAGGGTTCCTTCTTCAGCGCCCCGACTGTACATCGAGCCCGTCCGAAATCCTCTAGATCCTCCTTGTTGAATATGATGTCCTTGTAGGCCTGTGCGGCCAGGTGTGGGGCGGTCGTCTCAAGGTCCCTTGCCTTCTCAAGCAGCTCGGCGAAGACTTTATCCGACGGGAGCTCAACGGCTTCTCCGTCCACGTCCATGGCATCGCCAGCCGCAGCGGCATTGTTCGTCTGATCGACGTCCATCTTCTAAGGAGCGAGAGAAAGGGCGACTGGTGTAGGATGAAGGTTCCCGAACAAGCGGGCGGGCTGTTTCACTAATACCTCTCTACCGTTGGGAACATGTTGGGGAGGACGGACAACCTGGTCTCAACGACGGCGACGGCGGCGCCCATGAGCAA